TGTCTGCAAGGAATATAAATCCTTCCATTCCCCACCATCCTGTCAGAGCTGAAGAAGCTTCTTGGATGAGAAGCGAAACGTCTTCAAAGAAAAACCAAGAAAGTCCAGTTGCCTCCTGAAAAAGCACCTTTGGGGCAACCATGACCTGGATGACTGAGAATCTCTGTAGACTTGAAATATACAGTCCATGAGGTATGACCACAGTTGGGTCTGGAACTTCTGCCATTAAGTGATGTGGTCATTAGGTGAGACTGTGCACAATTTTATGAACTTTTTTCCATGGTCGTTAAACAAATTGTGTCCGTTAGGCAAATCGCATGGTCATTAAGCGAAACCAGGTTCCATCATTGATTTTGTTTGTCAGAAGCCAGCTGGGAGGGTCACAAATGGTGATAAAGTGACTCTAGCATGCTGTGATGATGTACTATAGGTGTGTGAACTGGTCATAAATCACACTTTTTCTGTTATAACGTTGAATGGTTGCTAAATGAATGGTCATAACTCAAGAACTTACCTGCAATCCATTTAATGTGCAATTAACTCGACATGCAATGTTTTGTTTAGTGTTCCAACGGTACTGAAAAATGTGTTCTATGACTATTTTTCACACATAACGACCGATGTAGCCTCCCCGTGGTCAGGTGACCCAAATTTGGATGCTTGGCAACTGGCATGTATTTATGACAGTTGCAATGTCCAGGGGTCATGTGATCACCTTTGTTGACCTGACAATCCAAGTCAGTGGGGAAGCCAGGTTCGCTTAACAACCGTGTTACTAACGTAACAACCGCGGTTAAACAATTAGCAACTGAGGCAAGAAAAGTTGTAAAATGGGAGCAAAACTCACCTGACAATGGTCTTGCTTAACAACATAAATTTTGGGCTCAATTATGGTCATAAGTCAAGGGCTGCCTGTGTTCTAGGGAATCATGGAACAGTAGAGAACCAGAGGAGGAAGATTGGGCCCCAGTGGTGGGATGCTACCAGTTCTGTGGCCATGGCTTGGCTTGATGGGCATGGCAAAGGAAGGATACTGTAAAATCTCCATTCCTTCCCCACTCCAGGGGAAGGATACTGCAAAATCTGCATTCCCTCCTCGCTCCAGGGGAAGGATACTGTAAATCTCCATTCCCTCCCAATCAGCTGGGACTCGGGAGGCAGGGAATAAATGGGGGCGGGGCCATTCAGAGGTGGTATTTACCAGTTGTCTGAACTACTCAAAGGTTCCACTACTGGTTGTCCAGAACTGGTCAGACCCTGCTGAATACAACCTCGGGTGGGCACCAAAGAGAAGGCAAACCAATGGAGGCTAGAACTCTTGTATAAGACGTGTGAATTTGGATGCAGATGAGGTGGGACGAGTTATCTTCTATATTTGCAGAACGTCCTCAAACATAAACTTGGAGACAAAGCAAAAGAGATGAAGAAAGACAGCAATGCTTTAGAAGAGGCTGTGAAGGAAGAGCAAAGGAAGCTCAGCGGAGGTGAGCAAGAAACCAGCAGCACTTTCTCCATCCAATCTGGTCCATTAGACTTTCTGTTGTGACCTAGTCTTCCCAAAAGCACGAAGCTGACTCCTCCTCCCGATAAAACCCCTTTTATTTAGGTTAAAGTGAATTCCTCTTCAGCAAAGTCCCGGCCAACAGTCTTTCAAGAGATTTCACAACTACGGACCTTTATCAGGCTTGGAGAGCTGATATCTTCTAAACGCCACGCTGTAGCAGACAATTACTTGACAAGAAGTCAGGACCAGATCTTCATCCCAATGAATTGAACTAATTGTCTCCTGTAAACTCCCCTCCCCTTTTGCTCCTCTTTATTCCCTATGAGAGGGGCCATTCACCGTCCACCTGTGGCTTTACTCCCGAGTGGACCCTTAGCTGTTCCCTTCCCCTGGCAGCTGTGTGCATGCGCACATCGGGAACAGACTCCAGCTGTTCTTCTGTCCCACTGATGTCCAACTCTGAAGGCAGCTGATAACTGTCAGATGGCCCTGGCCCCACTTCTGCCTCCAGCACAGAGCCCTCATCAGAGCCCCAGACTCCAGGACCGGCCCATGTTTCTCCCCAAACTCCTCACTGTCTGAATCTGCCACCAGCTCCACTGTCTGCTGGCAGGCCACAACACTTTCCTTCTCATCTAGATCCTTCCTCTTAGTCCCATTTATCAAAAGCAGCATTATCATCTGCTGCCTTGATGTTCTTAATGGCTCTTTATTGTCCTTAATGGATCAATGGAGGTGGGAAGGTTTGGTTCGGGCTGATTACAGCCTGCCCAGAACTGACCTGAGCCATAGATTATGTGTTTGTTCTGCCATTTTGGGTATACCTCTGTTGGCTAGGTATTTGGGACAGTTTTATAGGAAGTGGAAAAGCAGGATATAGCAATAACACTTAGACTTATACACTGCTTCTAAGCGGTTTACAACCCTCTTTAAGC